GAGCCTTAAGCCTCAGACTCGCTGTGTGTCTGTCCTCATAGAGGCACCAGGCCTGCATCTTTAATTCATCTCAATATATCATCTCAGCTCTTCTAGGAGCTGCAAACACAGAGACATTCAGGGAGCGGGAGGGCTTATCAGCAAGGTACTCACTGCTTGGAGCTGATCTTGAGCTCTATAAAGATGAGACCACCCCCCAACACAGGCATGTTTTTAAGATGAACATGGTTGTGAACGTATGCATGCTGAACAGCTGATCACATAGAGAAGGAAGACAAAAACATTATATTCACTGGGACAGGGAGTGGGGAAGACACAGGTTTTCTGTTTATGCCCATCACAGTTGGGGAAGGTTATCATTGTCCTAGGTCCTAGGCAAGCCTTTGGCAAGGCTTCTGGGAGGAGTGAAATTGTAGAACTTAGAGCCACACAAACGTGGATATTTCACATCTGGAAAGGACTCTAGACATATAGGCTGCCTCCCTCATTCCAGACCCTGGGAAATAAGTTTGTCCCTGTCATGCACCCAACCAGTGGCCAAGCTGGGACTCGAATCCAGGTCTTCCGTCTCGCACTACATCAGGAAGCCGCAAGCTTTTTACAGTCCATCCCCTTCATCATTGACTCCTACCTACCTCAAGCAGCCACTGCCCTGCATTCCATGTCTGGAAAAGTACTGTATCTGCCAAAGAAAGTACTTATATTAATGAGTAATTAACTCATTAACTCATTTTTATTAATCAAAACAACAGACATACCAATCAGACTTTCTCATCAGCTTAAGATCTAACCAGGATTACCGTATTGATAGGAGAAAGAGACTCAACTCAGGTTTTTTAAATGTCAAAAATCATAACCCCCCCCGCCTGCCGCCCCCACTGAAATATTGTTACCCTCGAAGACCCTTAAGGAAGTATTAGAGAGGGGGCGCCTGGGTGGCTCAATCGGTTAAGCGTCCAACTTCGGCTCAGGTCACGATCTCGCGGTCCGTGAGTTCGAGCCCCGCATTGGGTTCTGTGCTGACAGCTCAGAGCCTGGAGCCTGTTTCAGATTCTGTGTCTCCCTCTCTCTGACCCTCCCCTGTTCATGCTCTGTCTCTCTCTGTCTCAAAAATAAATAAATGCTAAAAAAAAAAAAAAAAAAAAAGGAAGTATTAGAGAACCCAGGCTGGAAATCAATGTACAGCATCGTGCTGCGTGCTCAAAGACACTCAGGGTCATCCGTGCCCCCAGTGGACAAATTTTGCTCTAACTGTCCACCTGAAGACCTCATTCTCCTTTACACTCCTCTCCCCACTCCCCTCCCTCCCTCCTTTTCTGCCTCATCATTCAGATCTGCCATAGGGCATAAGGCAAATAATAGCCACGTTTATGTAAACAGTCCCAAGAATAGATTAGAATGATTATACAAGTAACTGGACACCTTTTGTGAATCAAACATGATTTTGAACCTAATCGAGTTTAACAAAAAGGTATTTTAGATCAATGACAGAAGAACGTAGACCAAACTATCCTAAATCAAATATTTGTGAAAGAATATAACATGTAAATGTTTCTTTTTCTGGCTGGATAGGGTCTTTCACCCGCCCTGAAGCCAGACACCATGGAAACAATTAACATCGTTTCAAGATTTTCATTTCATGGGTTGCTTAGAAAGTGATAAACGGAAGTAATCTGGTTGAAATGAAGAAGCTGTTGGTGGTCTCTGGAGGCACTTGGCCTCTACCCTGAGCCAGCATTTTGCGAACCTATGACCCATGTACACATCGTCAGTTGAGAAGCTCCTAATTAGTATAATTAACTGTGAGGATACAAAAAGTCTCATGGTTCTTTGATATTAAGTGACAGCCAGGGAATTAATAAAATCCAGCTTCTATGTCTGATTAAAAATCTTGGGAGAAGAAAGTGCTCATGAAACGTACTTTTAAGATTTAAATGCAGGGGCACCTGGGGGGCTCAGTCAGTTAAGCGTCGGGCTCTTGGTTTCGGCTCAGGTCATGATCTCACGGTTCGTGATATTGAGCCCTGCGTCAGGCTCTGTGCTATCAGGGCAGAGCCTGCTTGGGATTCTCTCTTTCCTCTCTCTGCCCCTCCCCTGCTCACATGGTCTCTCTCTCAAAACAAATAAACATTAAACATTTTTAAATAAATAAATAAAGCTAAAATAAAATTGAAGTGTAAACCTTTTTTTTTTAAACAAAGATCTTGTCTTTACATGATCATCTCTACACCCAACATGGAGCCCAAACTCACAACCCAGAGATCAAGAGTCACTTGCTCCACCACCTGAGCCTGCCAGGCACCCCGTGTGTAAACCTTCATTTGAGACCCATTCATTTAGGACCTAACAACGTCTGCAGCATGAATTCCTCTTGAGCTTTATCATTGCCCTAGATCTTGGGGGTTAGCTTCGGCAAGGCTTCTGGGAGGAGTGAAGAGTGTGAGAGGGGGCTTACTTTGCAGGAGGCATGTTCCACCACCCAGCAGCTCGGATACAAGCCTCTTGAATTGCTCTTCCAGGCTGCAGGAGATAGTGAGAGAGGTGCTGGCCTCTGTGATGGTCACTAAGCAACTGGACGGGCAAGGAGAGGGCACAGCCCAGAATGGCCCTGTGGTTCTGTGTGTCTCCCCTGTCGGTCAAGGATGACTTGGCCCAGGCCGATCACAGCAAAGTCACATGAAGCAGAAACGTGCTCAGCCGGCCTGTTGATAAATTCAGATGACCAGCCCCTTGGCCCTGCTTCAGAGCTCGGCTGGGTCTGTGTCTTTGTGTAGACCACTCACCCTAATGAGAGGCAAAGATCCTCCTGTCATCCCTGGAGAAGGGGTCAGTCCCTGGGAGCCAGGCTCAGGCTCAAAATCTGACATCTTACGGGGAGTTCTGTCTGCACTCCATGGAGGCCCAGGGCTGATCTGGGAACTGCCTGGGCCACACACCAAATCCCGTTCCTCTTTGGGAAAGCGCCTGACCTCTGGACACCACAGAGGGGCAGGTCTGCAAGGGGCACTTGGGTTTCTCCAATGCAATGTTGAGCCATGAAAGGAAATTCTTATTGACTCTAATTGTCCTCAGCCCAGATGAGACAAATGACAGCTTCTTGTGAGAGAATTACCCAAGTATTAGCCTTGCTAGGGATGAGACCCACATCAAATGTAATTACATGTTGAAGTTCACTTTATGTTAGAAAACGGTGATCATGCAAATGTAGGCTATGCTATTAGAGTATGTTTCAGGTTTGGAAAATTGCATCCTTCTCTTCCACACTGGATTGGCTTATGGTTACTAATTCTTGAACCTCCCGGAGACTTCCAGTCTGATTAAGGTTTGCACAGACCAAACAGATACACTTCCTCCCTCCTGGAGCTTTGATTTGGCCCAGGTCATGGCTGCCAAACTGTGTTCTTTAGGACTGCTGGCTGGTGGTAGTGGCAGGGTGCTGGACCCCAGAGTTTGTCTACAGCAGCTGCTCTTATTTGTGAAATATATTGGGCTGCTGGAGGAAAGGATTCCATGGCTAACAAAGTTGTGAGAGCCACTGCCCTGAATCACAGGTTGTTGTCATGAATGTCTATAGATAAGGTCCCCAAAATGCTTGCTGTGCTCCTTTTTCTCTAGTCAAACAACATGAGGTATATAAGAAAGTGTTAAAAACATCTTTCCCCTTATTCCCTTCCAGTTCTGTTCTTTGAAGACAACTAGTGTTGACAGGTTGATATGTATCCTGCCCGGCCTGCCTTTCTCTGTCTGTGCTGATATCCTTAACAAATTTTTCATTGTGAAAAATTTCAAACATACAGAACAATAGACACTAGAATAATTTATCCCGTGTATATTCCTTCCCCGACTCCAATAATTATTAAAACTTTATAACACTTGTCTTATCTATCTCTTTCTCACATATTCTGATTTTTTGTTTTGTTTTAAAAAAAATGGCATTGTACTGCGTGTGCTGCCTGGCAGCTTGTTTTTTACTTAATCTTTTTTTTTTTTTAACGTTTATTTGTTTTTGAGAGAGAGAGAGAAAGCGTAAGTGGGAGAGAGCCAGAAAGAGGGAGACAGAGGATCTGCAGCAGGATGTGGGGCTCGAACTCGCGACCCGTGAGATCATAACCTGAGCTAAAATCAAGAGTTGGTGCTTAACCGATTGAGCCCTCCAGGCACCCCACTTACTTAACCATTTTTAAAATTATTCCTTATCAGTTCATTTACCTCTGCCTTTCAGTGGCTCTGTAGTTTTCCGGTACTTGAACCATCATTTACTCAAACACTCCCCTAGTCTTGGACATCCAGGCTGTCTCCAGAATGTTTTGCCACCTTATAAGTAACAGCAATATCCTTGTGCATAGGTTTTTATATATTGGTGCATTTATTTCTGTAGGATAGATTTCCCAAAAGTGGGATGGCAAGATCATGGGCTATCTATACTTTAAGTTTCATTAAATATTGCTAAAGTATATTCTCAAGAGATCATAGCTGAACAGCTTCCCCACAGTGACACATGGATAAGCCCATGTCTTCATATCTTTGACGGCCCTGGATGTGATTGCTCATTAAACTGTTGCAAATCTTGGGGCACCTAAGGTGGCTCAGTTGGCTGAGCATCTGACTTCAGCTCAGGTCACGATCTCACGGTTTGTGGGTCCGAGCCCTGCGTTGGGGCCTGTGCTGACCACTTGCTTGGAGCCTGGAGCCTGCTTCAAATTCTGCGTCCCCTTCTCTCTCTGCCCATCCCCCGCTGGTGCTCTGTCTCACTCGGTCTCTCAAAAATAAACAAATGTAAAAAAAAAAAAATTAAATTGTTGCAAATCTTTTCTATAAAGGGGTGGCATAAAATTGATATTTTGTATGTGTCTGTCAGTGGGTTCTTTTTCTTCATTAATTTCGGAAATTATATCCCTGCAATCATTATTTGGGGGAAGATGGCCATTAGGAACATCTGGAATAGAGGGCCAGAGAGAAGTGTCTTTTGAAGACCAGCCTCTGCTCTTTGTTCCCATCAGTTTGCACAGCGGAAAACGGGTGCTGGCCGCGTGGTGCACATCTGCAATCTCCCTGAAGGAAGCTGCACGGAAAATGATGTCATTAACCTGGGGCTGCCTTTTGGAAAGGTCACTAATTACATCCTCATGAAATCTACTAATCAGGTAGGTCTGGGCAATTTCACATTGGTGTGTACCAGACAGACCCCCACATGGGTGGAGGGGAACTATATAATTTTTTTTAAAGAAGCTGTTCTTAAAGAGGTAAACACAGCTGGCCTCTTGCTGGGACAGCACAGAGGTTTTTGGTGGTGGTGGTGTTTTGTCTACCCTTGTCTCACTTAACTCTTCTTGTGATGGGTACGGGCCTTTGTGAGTTGCTTAGAGGTAAGGCGGTACTTCAGAGTGAGGTACTCCTTAACACAGAAAAGCTAACTGGCCCCCAAAATAGAAATCCATGGACATGAGTCTTTTCACTGTTATGAACCCCCTGAGCTAATGCTAGAAGCTTCTGATATCTGAGGGCCTGTATTTGGAGTGAGCCAACAGCTAACTGGGAACAGGTTTTTTTCACAGATCTTTGGTGTTAACACCAGAGGCCCTTGGGTCTCATAGCAGGAGAGTGGGTGGGAATTGATGGGTGCCTGGTAAGTCTCAAGGACAAAGAACCCTTAACCTGTGGGGATTGACTGAGAACTTGAGGGTTAATATGGTTGTCTTCACTTCTAAAGTTAAAGGAGGAGTTTATACCGAGAAATGGTCAGAAATAAGAATTTTTTAAAAATATTTTATCTTTTGTTAATATTTTTATTTTGTGAACCAGAGGAACAGACATAGAAGTCCTTTTCTTGATTAAGGCATGAACTTTAGAGACTCAGAGCCACATCAGATCATCAGTGGTCTTTCTCCATCAACGTGGGCTTAGACTACTCACTTAGTCTCTTTGTTCTGACTATTTTGGGTAAATGTACAAAATTCAGCCTGCAACATTAATGCAGTGGGAGTCACTGAATTAGTATTATTCCCATTTGACAGTTGAGAGCTGGAGGTGCTAAAATGTTTGCATCAAGAAAGAGGCACTTAGAAAACTGGGTGGAAGAATCTGAAATAAAACGCTAAAGAATCTTGACTTGTTCATCTCCCACACATCTGCCATAGACTGTGACAGCAGGGAAAAGCATCTCTGAAATTCAAAAACAAATGTGGGTGAAGGATGGAGAACCAGCTTGGTTAACCCACTCAGATCAAGGAATCAGGAGTATAGGGGCTCACAGAGAGGGCTCTCTTGTCACAGACCACTTTTCCTTTCCAACATCAAGGGACCAGATCAGTGCACCAATCAGTATAGTACAAATGAAACAAATTTAAGAAACGATAATGACAGTGAACCGCTGCAACAGCTATTGGGGTAAACCAGAAGGTCAGTCAAAACAGTCTATTTAGAAGCTCTCTGGAGACACTGATTGAATGCCAAAGCCTGGTTCTTTGTGTTCTATCAGAACAGTTAAATAAAGAGGAAAAATGCTGTGGAGATATAACTGAGGGTTTTCTTCTCTCTGTAATTCAAAAAGGCATGGCCTTCTTTCAAGCCTTGGGAGCCCCTGAGTTGTTTGGTATTTTTCTTTCTTTGCAAAGAAAGTGAGAGTTCAAATACCCATGGCTGTGTCTCTGTCTTCTGCCATCATCACGACAAAATAGCACATTTTGCAGGGATCAGCCCAAGGTCACTTGTACAACAGACCCACTGTCCCCCCTATTACTCCTAAGGGTACTGTGGGTTAATGGACCCTCCCATCCCAGGGGGACTCCTGTGGCATGATATAGCACAGGATGGACATACATAATTTAAGAATCATTGGTAACCATGGGGATCAGGGGAGGGGCCATCCTATAATGAACTCTTTGGGTGAAGTTAATAAATAGGTCTCTTTGAACAGATGGGATCAAAGAGAGCTCTTATACTGGTCTTTTTTCTTTTTATTGAGGTATAAAGTATATATTCTAAAGTATACTCAAGTGTATTACTTTTCTACATGTGTACCCCTACGTAATTACCACACAGGTCAAGATAGAGAACATTTCCAGAACCTCAGAAGGTTTCCTCATGCTCCACCCAGTCAGCACCTCACCCCCGCCCCAGAGGGGAGCTCAGCCCCAGCTTCTATCAGCATTGATTCGTTTTGCCTATTCTTGAACTTCGTAGACACAGAATTATACCTGGTACTGAATTTTGTTGAAGACCATACAAGTCAACTTGAGTATATGTCCTTCCATTTTTTCCTAGGCCTTTTTAGAGATGGCTTACACAGAAGCTGCCCAGGCCATGGTCCAGTATTACCAAGAAAAATCTGCCATGATCAATGGTGAGAAGTTGCTCATTCGGATGTCCAAGAGATACAAGGAATTGCAGCTGAAGGTAAAGCATTTTCTGACTGTTCAGTCATTCAGCAAGCATCAGCCGAGCATCTCCTTGTCGGGCACTGGCCCAAGTGCTGGCGGGAAGGAGAGGACAAGGAAAGGTCCTCAAATTGCCCATTGCCTTTGGGGATATCACGTGGGAAGTCCAGCCATTATAATGTGGAATGCTTATTGAGGTGAGTACAAAATGCAAAGGGATTTTAGGGACAGGATGACTAGCTACCTGGGACCCAAGGAGGATTCTGCAGGGGAAGTCTTGAAGGATGAAACAAGAAAGGGAAGGTGGTTGCATTTCAGAGGTGGGAGCTCTGAGTATAACCTCCTGAATAGGACTCCCTTTTCTGTACTGAAGTACGGGTCTTCAGGAATTTTCACTTCCTCTCTCACTACTGCCCTGCCTTGATCTCTTATTCTCTCCTCCATCCTCTATAATTATATCTTAAGCCCCATAGAAATCCTCCTAAGCAACACATGACTGAATTGGCCACCATCAGAATGACTATCAGGGATGAATTCAGATAATTCCAAACAGGGCGTTTGCTTGTTTGTTTTAGCTTATTCTACATTTCTCTTTTCTTTTCTTTTCTTTTCTTTTGTTTTCTTTTCTTTTCTTTTCTCTTTTCTTTTCTTTCCTTTCCTTTCCTTTCCTTTCCCTTTCCTTTTCTTTCCTTTTCTTTTCTCTTTTCCTTTCTTCTTGCTCTATTGTGAAGTATAACATATATTCAGAAAAATGACTAATTATATATTGTATAGTTTTAAATGTAGTAATGGTTGAAATCCCATAACTCCCATAAAACCACCACCAAAGTCAAGAAATAAGACACCGGCGGCACCCAGAAGCCCCTCTGAGTCCCTCCTCAAGCTTTACCCCTCCCTCTCCACTCTCCTGACTTGGAGGATGATCATTTCTTTGCTTTTCCTTACAGCTCTACAACCCACTTATGCCTCCCTTAAGGTGATTGTTTAGTTTTGCCTATTTTTGAACTTTACATGAATGGAATTATACTCTTTGTGTTCTTTCATTCAACATCTGCCATCCATGCTGGGTGTGTCTATTTATTTTCATCGTTATGTAAATTTCCATTGTCCGACTATGAATTTATCTATATGTTCCACTGTCTGTGGACATTTGGGCTGCTTCCAGTGTTAGGGTATTAGGGACAAGGTTACCGTGAACACTCTTGAACACGGTATCCTGGTACACGGGTACACGAGCACATAACTAGGGGCACATACATAACTGGGAGTGGAATTGCTGGATCTCAAGGCATGCTTACCTTGAACTTTGCTAGGTAATAGTAGCAAGCTCTTTTCAAAATTAGTTGTCCTAGATTTACATTCCTCCTAGTGTCAGGGTGTTCAGTGGCCTGCATTCTTGCTAACATTTTGTTATCTGGCGTTTTAAGTTTTGCCTGTCTTGGGAGAGTATAATGGTTTGTCATGGTTTTATTTTTTTATTTTCCGGATTACTAATTGAGGTTGAGCCCCTTTTCCTATGCTCGTTAGCTATTCCATTTGGGTCTTCTGTGGTGGAAAGTTTCTTCTAGGGTCATTTGCCCATGCTTGTCTTTAGATTGTGTCTTCTTAATGGTTTCCAGGAAGGAGTTCACTTAACTGGAGCACTTAGTCCCTTTGGATTTATTGTAACTATTGCTATGTATGTATTTTTTTTTTTTTAATTTTAGAGATAAAGAGAGAATGTGAGCGGAGGAGAGGGACAGAGGGAGAGAGACAGAGAATCTTAAGCAGGCTCTGTGCTCAGCACAGAGCCTGATGTGGGGCTCAATCCCACAGCCCTGGGGTCATGACCTGAGCGAAATCAAGAATCCAATGCCAACCAACTGAGCCACCCATGCGCCTCATATTTATATTTCAATCTACTTGTCATTTTGTGCTTTCTACTGTCCCATTTTAATAGGGATCTTCCAGTTTGCTTCAGCTTATTCCATATTTACATAGGGTCCAGTTGGTTAAGACCCACAGCCCTTAATCAGCCTTCAAGGTTGAAGGCAGAAGACAGAGGCTCAGTGGTTGTTGCTAGGATCTGACAAGTCCACGTACGTACATGGTAATGTGTCAGCCTGTTGTCAGTTGCCAGTCCTGATTCAGCTTTGCTTGCAATTATTGCTTCTGAAGATCCTTCACCAACAATTGTAGCAGAACCTGGTTTTTGTTTGTTTGGTTGGTTTTTTTTTGTTTTTTGTTTTTTGTTTTTTTCTGGCGAATGCAAGCATGTTGCTTTTCTCAACAAATCAAAGGTCCTATCCCATTATGTACCCAGCCAAAGTTTCTGTTCTCCTGGATTCTCCCCTGGAGGCTAAAATTGAATTTCTGCACTGAATTCCCAGTGGATCTTTGGTGTCTAAATGAGATGTGGTTGTAAGAATCTAATTCGGATGAACAGCAGTACTCAGCTTTTTATTTTTTTTTTTATTTTTTTTAATTTTTTTTATTTTTTTAATTTTTTTTTCAACGTTTATTTATTTTTGGGACAGAGAGAGACAGAGCATGAACGGGGGAGGGGCAGAGAGAGAGGGAGACACAGAATCGGAAACAGGCTCCAGGCTCTGAGCCATCAGCCCAGAGCCCGACGCGGGGCTCGAACTCACGGACCGTGAGATCGTGACCTGGCTGAAGTCGGACGCTTAACCGACTGCGCCACCCAGGCGCCCCATTACTCAGCTTTTTAAATTAAGGTACTGAGGCACTGCAGTGCTTACTGAGGGAAATAGTTCAGGATGGTGCAAACACCATGTGTTAAAGAGATCACGTGGTCAAGGTCTGCATTCAGCAGATGTTCACTGCGTGCCCACTGGACCAGGCACCATGGTTATAGACATAGCAAGCTTGTGGAGGAGCTCACAGTCTGGTGTGAGGAAGAAAGGGAAAACAGCACCATCGACGACCATGTGACCTATTTCAGACTGGAGGGTGGTGGTGCAGCCTAGATTTTACCCCTTCCTGCTTTGAGGAGCTTGGACAAGGTGCTTTACATCTGTGAACCTTAGGTGCTGGATCAGTAAAGGACTCCACCTTGAGTTCTTTGGTTTTAAGCACTTTTTTTTTCCATGTATTATCTTTTTGAGTCTTGCAATCACCTTCCCCTATGAGGTGTGTAGGGTGGATAATAGCAGTAACTATAACAGTACAACAATAATAACAAGAATAATATACCTTTAATCGAGTCCTGGTACTCTGGGTCAAGTCACGTGCCCAACACCTTATATACATTATCTTCTGTAATCCTGAGATCAGTCCTGTCAGACAGGTATTATCTCAGTTTTATAGGTAAGGAAACCGAGGCTCATAGAAGTTCAGTAACTTGCACAAGATCATAGCTGCTGGAAGAGCCATGATTAAAACCTAGGACTGTTTTGGTTTTGCACAATATCTGCACTTCTATATTGTGTTAGTAGGGTCTCCATTGTCCACGTGAGAAATCAGGTAATTTGCTTATGGTCACCCAGCAAGTAAGCAGCAGGTAGTATTCTAACAGGGCTTCTCAAACTTTAATGTGCATACAAGTCACTTACAGGTCTTGTTAAGATTTCTGATTCAGTAGATCTGGGGCAGGGCTGTGATTCTGCCTTTCCAACAAGCTCCCAGGAGATGTTGCAATGTGTCTAGAACACATTAACTACCCTTTAGGAAGGATTTTCTGCTCCCAAACTGTCACAATGCCTCTAATAGAAAGCATATCAAAACCTACTTTAACTACATAGCAATGCCTGCATCATGGCCCCTAGGTTGACATAAGCCAGCTAGGACTTTCTCTGTAGGTGACAGAAATTTGTCTCATGTAAGCTCATCAACTAAAGTAAGGAAAGAAGTTTATTGGCTCATGTAAATGAAAAGTCCAGGAGTAACCCTGGCTGCGGCTGCGGGCACAGCTGCATTTAGGGCCTAAGTGATATCATTAGGACTTGGCTTTTCTGCACTCTGCCTTCTGTTCACTTTGCTTTATTTTGGGGTCCCCCTGGATGGCCCCCGGCTCCAGCCTCTAGGTGGCGTGGTGGCTTCATTGACTTCAGCAGCTCTGGCCTCCCGTTTCCTTCAACAACAGAGCCAGAGTTTTTCCTAGTAGCTTCCTCCTAAGTGCTGAGAGGCCTTGTCTGTGCTCGAGCTAGTTTGGGACACATGTCCTTACCTGAACCAATCTCTGTGGCCAGGGAAGGCCTTGCTGTGACTGGCCAGGCCTGTGTCACCCCAGAGCAGAGGTGGAAAAGTGGAAATGGCCTACTAGGGAGGTAGACAGCAAAACACTGTATCCATATGTGTCTCTGGGCCCAAGGGGCCACCGCTTGAGGTCCCACCAGGGTTTGCAGAGGTGGGGGGAAATTTTGATTGGTCTTTTTCCTCTAACTTTACCTTTTGCTCACCAGACAAAGTGCAGGGAGAGAAAAGAGAGATTTAAAGTATCTCTCATCTCCTGTCTTGAATATTTCCTCATGCTGATAATCATGTCTCTCTATACACTCTTTGCGGCAAAGGCTCTATTCCTCAGGGCATTTGGGTAAGAACCTTTCACATAACATGTATCCAGCAAATGCATGGAATGAATGAGGAAGAGTAAATCTGAAGGAACAATAAAAAGTGAGTTTTCCTTCCTGCAGACCCAGACAAGAAGGATGAGCTATTTTCTGGGTTGTTCCATAGAGACTTCTCCAGAATCATAGTGTCTCACACGCAGAAGGGAACTTAGGATAGTTTAAACCAGTGTCTCCCAGTCGTCAGGGGAGTTTTCAGGTTCTCTGGAGCAGAGGTTTCCCTCTACTGAGGTTTCCCGTCAGTAGATTCAGGGTGGGATTGAGGGTCCCAGGCAGTTTGGCAGCAGAGGGCTTGGTTTCAGGGCCACTGGTCTTGCCAGCTTCCCTGCCACAGAGGGGGTCTCTGGCCCTGAGAAGCAGTTGTGTGTGTTCCTGTGGTGCTCACAGGAAGATTAAATCAGCAGACGGTGACTGATTTCATGTAAGATATGGTGCTGAGAGCTACAGCTGATAGGAGGCTTGGTCCTCACTTGGGGAGAGTTTGCTGTGTAACCGAAGAGGCAAATTATTCTTGTGGAAATTATACAAGACTTCAGCGAGTGCATCAGTTTGGAAGCTCCTAGAAGTTCAGTGGCAAAAGCCAGTATGACTTGGTTGTATAAAGAAGGGAAAGATTACTGAGCAGGTCCTTCAAGGATGAGGAGAGTCAGATAAACTGAGAGGGTGTCCAGGCAAAAGGAGTCAGGTGAGGACGGAAGCAGACCCTGGAAAGCACAGTAATGTTGAAAACTATCAGGGCTACTGGGACAGGGTCTGGCTATGACAAGTTAAGGGCTCATCTGCAAAGTTTCAGCATCTTCACAGGACTCTTGAGGCATGGCCTAGAAAACAGCCACAGAGGGTTCAGAGGGTGTGAAACCCTCCAACACCTCCTTTTATGTCGGCCCAGTACCTGTGGCTTTTATCAGCCTAGTCTGCTGTGCCCTGAGGCTATTGGTGGATGCCAGATGGGCCTCATTATCTGAACTTTATAGGTGGAGAAAGGGAGCCTCCCATAGACAACGAGCCTTGACCCCAGATCACTTAGGCAGCTAGAGGCCAAGCAGAGCTGTTCTTCCTGGGTTGAGATTCTCAAGGTGAGGTACATCCCCTTGAGTATGCCAGCACTTCCTGGAACAGCGTGGGGCTTGACCTCTCACCCTTGTCTTAAACAGAGCAAGATGTGTTGACCAGAAGCACCATGGATGGTTCCCTATGGTGTTATTGAGCCATATCAGTGTCCTCATAGAATGGATGAGAAGATACTATGTCTGAGATCTGCTTCAGAATATTCTGTGGGGTGGGGAAAGGGTTCGGGTACAGATGAACTAGGTTGGTCAGAATTGTTGACAATGGAAATGGAGTCATGGGGGTTCAACATACCATTCTGTGTGCTTTTGCATATATTTAAAATGTTCTACAATAAAGAGGTACCCAAAATGTCGGGGCCCCTCCATTCAGCATTATGCTCACACTCCTCATTCCCTGGATTAAACTTCTTCTTCCTCTAAAAAGGTATTTTTTTTCCCCTTGGGTGGACCGGGCAATGGACCCAAGTCCCCTCTGTTTCCCTTTGGTATTTGCATGGCTGTCTCTGGTCTGATGATGACCTCTCTGACTTTGCCTAGAAACCCGGGAAAACGGTGGCTGCCATCATCCAGGACATGCATTCCCAGAGGGAGAGGGACATGTTCCGGGAAGCAGACAGGTAAGGCCCCAGCTCTGGGCATCATGGAGGATTCTGGGCAGCTGGGACACTCTCCTGTCTCTCATTCTTACGGGTATTGAGTCACACTGTGCCCTGCCCTTGCCCCGTCCATCAGCCTTTCTGGGCCCTACTTTTCCACATGCTGGATGCCGTCCAGAACTGCTGCTCAGGTTAAGCCTCAGGAAAATGCAAGATGGTAGGCTTCCTCTCATCTGCACCTCCTTTGTTAGAAAGGAATATAGAAGGGATTCTGTTGATATTTGGCCCTTTGGGGCAAGGCTACACTCTGCTAAAAAACCTTAAAGTCAGCGTGTGTGTGTGTGTGTGTGTGTGTGTGTGTGTTCTATTTAGAGCCAGCTGTTGGCTTTTCATGAGCTGAATGTAGATATAAGAACAGAAATGTAGGTGAACCCCCCAAAAGTAGTGACTTGCCCAGTCACCTACTCTGAACATTGAATGCATTCAGTTTTCCAACTCCTTTCTTCCGACTGAAATTGGGACCGTGTCAAGTTGGGGGTACAAGTTTCCCCCTGTCGCTGCCCTACGAAAACAGCCCTTGTGGAGAGCCAAGGTGGAGACCACAGGAGCCAGCACTTGGCCTGCACTTTCCATGGTTCTACCTGGGGCTGCCACAGATAGTGCTCTCACCAGGCTGGGTCCAGGCTGTTTCCCCATTGATGGTCAAGGCAGCCTGGTCCTAGGGAGCCACCTCTGGGTGTCCCCTGGTAAGTGAGGGCTGTCTGGTTTTTCTGTATTTGGAAACCAAACGAAAATTGCCCATTCTTTTAGAATAATGGGTACATGATTAACTAGATCTGCTTAATCACCAAACAATCCCCAGAGAGAGAGGCTGGGGAGTGTGTGTGTGTGTGTGTGTGTGTGTGTGTCTTTGTATGTATCTAGCTGCTCAGGTTTGGGATCCCCATTTATTTGTTTGGGTTTTTTTTTAATGGTTGGTTGGGATTTTTTTAAAGATGCGTTTAAAGGCGGATCATGCTTCCCACAGTTCTTCAGCGGAGCATCTGGAAGAACTAGGTCTTGCTCTGAATCTTAGGCAGATTGAGAATCCCTTTTCTGGGATTCAGTCCCCTCATCTGAAACACAAGCAGGTCAGAGCTCTAAGGTTCCCTCCAACCCTAAAGTGCCCTCCTAGTTCTTTGGTTTTGGAATCTCTGAGCCTGCCCTCCTCACTCTTGTCCCCCCAGTAATTAGCATCCTTCTACTATGCCCAAGACCTAAACAAACTGAGATGAGAAACAAACAAGAAAAATGGAGGCCAAGAGGTTGCCTTCATTACGGTAAAAGTCAGGTGGAGTTGTGGCTTTGGTCTTGTAGTTGAGACGCTGGCTAATTGAACCCCAGGGTCAGGCAGCCTTGCCCACCAGGCTAGACCAGGGCAACCACCGCCTCCCCCCACCACCACCACACACACACACATCCAGAGGGAGAGTTGCCTGTCCCCTGAGCTTAGCTTCCTTCCAAGAGGAAGAAAGATGGAGTTGAGCCTAACCAGTCCAGTTATTTATCCCTGTTCCCAGAAGCAGAATGAGTAAAAGGGCAGAGACAGCCAGGACTGTACTCTGGGAAAATCCTCCTCCTTAGAAGCCAGAGGGGAGGAAAAGCTTTCTCCTGCACCACTCTCTGTGCTGGCTGTGCGGTTGTGGTGAAGAGTGTATGGCCACATGGGGTTAGTGCACAGTATGTCCACTGGGCATATCTGTGCATGGGGGCAGGGGACGTGCAGATCATAAAACACACTCCTTGGCTCCTTCACAGATACGGCCCAGAAAGGCCACGGTCTCGCAGTCCGGTGAGCCGGTCACTGTCCCCGAGGTCCCACACGCCGAGCTTCACCTCCTGCAGCTCTTCCCACAGCCCTCTGGGCCCCACCCGCACCGACTGGGGCAACAGCCGGGACTTGTGGGAGCACTCGCCCTATGCCAGAAGGGAGGAAGAGCGAGATTCGAGCCCCTGGAGGGAGAATGGAGAGGACAAGAGGGACAGGGCAGACGCGTGGCCACATGATCGCAAACACTACCCCTGGCAACTGGACAAAGCGGAGTTAGATGAGCGGCTGGAAGGAGGGAGGGGCCACCGAGAAAAGCACCCAAGGCCCGGGTCCCCCAGCCCGCTGCACTCTGCCTCGGGCTACAAAAGCCGAGAAGACAGCTACTACCGGAAGGAGCCCAAAGGCAAATCGGACAAGTATGTAAAGCAGCAGCAGGAAGCTCCCGGGAGGTCCAGGAGGAAAGAGGAGGCCAGGCTGCGGGAGAGCAGACACCCCCACCCCGAGGACTCAGGCAAGGAAGACGGGCTGGAGCCGAAGGTCACTAGGGCCCCTGAGAGCGTCAAGTCTAAGCAGAGTGAAAAAAACAGAACCAAGAGACCTGATAGAGACCAAGAAGGAGCTGATGATAGAAAAGAAAGCAGAATGGCGGGGAATGAGGTAACGATGCAATCTCTTCCCCAGGTAAGGAGAGGCAGGTTCCCGAGGACAGTAATATTAATATGATGATGATGAACATGTATTTATTGAATGAATGGAACACTCATTGGATGTTTACTCTGTGCCAGGCACTGTACTAAACACTTTGTCTCAGTCAGGTTATTTAATCTTGCCAGCAACTGTATGAAGTAATAATGGTAATAATACTATTATTGCTATAGATAAGGAAATTGAGGCACAGAGAGCTTAAGGGAGTTGTCCAAGGACACACGGTCAGGAAATGACAGAGCGATCGGGCTCCAAATCCCTTGGCGCGTGGCTACCTTTACTAGAAGTTAGGCAGCGACATGACATGATGCAAAGGCCGTCTGTGGACCCGTGTGCCCGGAGCGGAGGCGGCCTGCGGTGTCGCGGACTCTGCTCAGGGAGATTAGATCTTTGGTCTGCTCCATTCTTTCTCCTGCCAAAAGCATCTGCCGACCCTGGGGCTTCAATGAGAGGTGGTAAAGGAGAAGCAGCCACCACCCACTACGTGACACTGGGTGCCCAGGGCTTGGAGTGCCTCCCTAGACACTGTCCAGTGTTTTACTTCCACTGTAATAAAAATGCTCGGCAGTTGGCTGGCACCTTTCATCCAAGCGTCTGGAAGGGCTTATAACCTGCTATATAACTTCGGTTCACACAGTGAGCCGCGAGGACTCTGGGTACAAAATTTACATCCTGGCTTGGTTTATACTTCCTCCTTTCCCAAAACCACCTACATTTAAGTAGGAGTGGGATCGTGGAGGTCGGGGAGGCGGTGCTTCATAAGGAACTCAATTTAAAAAACCCTACGTGCCTGTCTCCTAGTTTGATTCAGGAGTTAGTGACAGTGACTAAGTTGAAATAAGGAGCCCAGTTCTCAAGGCCATGGACGCTGAAGAGTCACGCTTTTGTTCACTACTGCATTCACTCCTATATGCTCCTATTGGTGGGAGGCCACTTTGACAGGTAGCGTGCTAGGCACAGGGGGTCCAAAGGTGAAGGGGACATGGTCCAGGCTGTAGTGGAGACCAAGGTCTAATGGTAGAAGGAGAGCTACCAAAAGTGATTTACGGTCAGTGGGACCCATACTGGAGCGGAGTAGCAGATGGGCTGTTCTGTGGGCGTTACTTCTGCACCAGGAGAAGAGGAAAGCAGCACAGAGGAGGTGACACTTGGCCAGGCATGGAAAGTGGGGACAAAAGCAATTTGGGAAGCAGCGAAGGCAAAAGTGAGAAAAGAAGACTGTTTTCAAGAACCTAGAGATACGCAGCATGGCGGTGTCTTTAGGGCATATTAAAGAATAATGTTTTTAAACAGTAAAACCCTGGCTCTTGTGCAAACATAAGATGAATACATGTCAAAGATGTTATTTAACCCATTAATTAACGAGGGATCTGTAAGGTGTAAAAGCTGGGTCAAAGGAGAAGCCAAAGAACAGGCAACATGGAAAGGCAATTGAGAACGCTGAAATGAATTTGCTAAGAGACATAAAGCCTTTTCCACGGGAAGCCAGGTGCATCTCCAGCAGGTAAAATTGCATCTCTAGGAACAAGAATCATTTGCACTACGATCCGTCTTCTGTAGTTTGCAGGGTTATAAAATAGTTCCAGATAACAAAAGGCCCCAACTCCTAAGGATGGGACACCCCGGAAAGGGTGTGCTGGACAGCTAACTGCCCAGCGGTCCATGGAAAGAACACCCTGTTGTCTTTTCGCCCATCTCAAAGTCAGCCACGGTTTTTCCTGACTGGCACAGCAGGGGTTGCTCAGGAGGTGAGATTAGGGACCTGGGTGGGGTGGGTCCACAAAGGCCTTTGTGTGCCTTGCTGAGGACTTGAACTGGATCCCGAGGACCTGTGAACCAGAGGGTGTTTTTAAGAAGTGTGTCTACACTTGGAGGTACCTAAGGGGCTGGTGATGGGTCAGTGCCTCCAAAGAGTCACAGAGGGACAGAGAGCAGCAGCCCCTTGAGCCAAGGGCTCAAGCCTGGGCCTCATACACATGCCAGCAGCCCAGCCCCCTGTGTCCCCATGGCAAAGTGATGGAGCTGCCCCTTCACAAGCCTACCCACATTTCTGAGACTCTTCTTCAGTCTCGGTATTGTTCCTACTATTTCACCCACCTGCTTTCATCGGTTTGCCCATTTAAGGTGACACATGCTATGGGTCATCCCCAGAGCCCTGTTGCAAAAAAAAGATGCCCAGAAAGCCCCATGGGTTTCCACAAATTCTGTCTCTTTAATTGGTTCTGCCTCTAATAGCCCTAGAGTGGAGTCGGTGGGGACTTGGGGTCCCCAATGGATTGTTTCTGTGGGTTTGGGAGCCAGGAAGCCCCAAACCCTTTTTCTGATGGAATATCAGTAGCATAGACTTTCCCTTACTGATCTCAAAGCGTATATAACAATCTTGAAAACGACCCAAATCCTCCAGGGCTGCCCCAGGAGTCAGATAACAGGCAGTGACTGAACTTGGAGATGGAAGACAGCTTGGCTGAGGACGGTGTCGTTGCCTTCTTCTAACATACCAGACACCTCCCACCACAGGGTCTTTACACATGTTCACCTGCCTGAGACCCCTCCCCTGCCAAAGTCACGTGGCTCCTTCCTCCCCACCTTTCACTTGTTGTTCTACTCCCCCCGCAAGTTTATTCCTGGAGAGAAGTCCCACAACATAAAACCACAGTGTCCCAACTCACTTGTCTTCCTTCCCTGCCAAACTCTCCTAGGTCCAACCTATCCCCTGGTCTGTCTTTATTTTATTTAGTGTCTGTCTCCTACAGCCCCCAAACATAACCTCCACAAGGGCAGGAATTTTTGTCTGCTGTGCTCACTGCTATGTCCCCAGTCCCGAAATCAGGGCTTGACACAGAGTGGGTGCCCAGTAAGTATTTGCTGAAGGAAGAAAGGAATGACTGACCCAGACTCTGGAGACAAAGGCCTGGCTTCTGAGAACCAGGTCACTCCCTGTTCTTCTGGGCCTCAATTTTCTCATTGGTGAGATGGGTGTGATCACAGGGCTGTCATAGGGCTTTAATGAGCTTGTGCTCATTCAAAACCTCTAAGATGTCTGGAGAAAGTGCCCATGCTGGAGAGGCCAGTGTGTGTGCTGTTCAGTGTTTGTAAGTGGCCAAGTCCACACCTGAGACTCAACCTTGACCACAAGGCCATAGAAAGAAGGAAAGAGATCAAGTCACTGAATAGGGTGAACATGGGTAGGAAACATTCCTCCACCTTACTGGAAGGGCGATCAAGGGTTATCGACCCAGATGCCTGGAGAAAGGAAGCCAGGAAGGGGACACAGACCTGGTAATAGGGGTGAAGCCAACGTGGAAAGAAGTAATCATGGCAGACCAAGGAGGGGGTACCTGTCTACTGGGGGCAGTTAGCCACTCCTCAGCTCTGTTCTATGGCTGCCATTCAGGAATGCAAGCCGGGTGCTATTAGATCCCCCATTTTTTAAAGAGCGGCACCAAAATCCACGTACCTCTGAAATTTTTCCACATTTTAGAAACTGTATAGACTAGAACATGTCTGTAGGCCAGATGGAGCCCAAGGTTCCCTAGAATGCAGCCCCCAGTATAGGCAGTCCATAGAAGGGAGAAACAGAAAAACTACTTATGCTCAGTTCAGAGCCTAGACAGAGACCTAAGCATGCCAGAGGCAGGTGTGAGCTAGTTAACCACTCCATCCCCTCCTTCCAGTCTCCATCCTCGTATTGACTAATATTCCACAGAGCACCTAGCACTAGGACTACAGTTCTGAGTGAAAACTGAAATGACCCTTGATCTCAGGAGCTCATGGTCTAATGGAAAGACACACTAATCAAATAATTCCTCAAATGAGTAGAAGAGCATGAGTTAAGTGCTAAGAAGGAGATGGAGGTATATACTACTGTTAAGGTGGCAACAAATTAGAGGCTTCCCTGGGTTAAGATGCGACTGTTGAGATTTGAAGGAATGGTGGGTTTCACTGAGTGAAAGGAAGAACAGACAGAACAGCATGTGCAAAGGCCTTGTGGCTGAGGGTCAGTGTTGCAGGAACAGAGACAGCCAGGGTTAGAATGCTGAGACGTAGGTCTGGTTTGTCAACGGGCCTTATCATGCAAGGTTGTAGGCAGGTTACGGATTTGTGTCTTTATCCCGAGTGCAAAGGGAAACAAATGAAATATTTAAGCAAGAAGGTGTGGTGAGGTTAGGACAGTTTTTGCCTTGTGGAGTCATCATTCTTGATCGCCTTGGGGAGAATAGACTTGGGAGGAGGCTACAGGGCAGAAGGGGGAGACCAGTTAGGAGGTGGTTTAACTGTAGGCCTAGCTCTGTGGAGGCAGAGCTCTGCTTGCAACAGTTGGGGCCCAATATCTTAGTCTGTGAGCTGGCGCGGGCAGCTGGGTGCATTGATTGCATTTCTTGGCTTCCCTTAAACTGCTGCTCTCACTTAAAGTGATCCCAGGGTGAGGGGCACACTGAAGGCACTGCTCTTCCTTTGCCTGCGGGAAGAAACGCCTAGATGCAAATGGTGAGGTGCTTACGTCCGGGCCAGGCTGCCCCTGCTTCTCCCAACTGGAATTGGAGGGGGCTCTATTGTGTCCACCTAGGAGTGTGGCTGGAGGAATTTGCCTGGGGAGGGTAAGCGTTACTTACTCGGACAAGGGAGAGCCATAGGTAGTTTATTCAGGGAGATAACAATAAAAGACCTCTCCTTTTGGTGGAAGCTATGCATTCTGATGGCTAAAAAGGCATTTGGAGCTGCTTTGCACTTAGGCTAGCTTGGAAGATCAGAGCAGAGCTTGGAATCTTCCGCTCCAAATACCAGAAAGAGCAAGGACCTGAGGATGTTAGCTCTCTTCCCCTGTCTGGTAATAACTGGTTAAACCAGTCAGCTCTGAGCTCCTGCCCCAGCTGGTTCTGTGTCAGCGCCAGAGGGGTGTGTCCAGTTGTAAGGAATCAGAACCAGAGTCACTTACTCAGAGCCAACCTCAGCCAGAATTGTCGGGAAGATGCAGCTGGCCCCTGAGAAAGTCCAGGAAGAGTCACTGATCTGGTGGCCAAAGTTTAAGTCAGGGGAGAGTATCCTCCAAAAACTTCTAAAATGAGGTTTGGCAAACTTGTTCTACAAAGCACCAGACAGCAAACGTTTTAGGCTATGTGGGCCAAGAGGCCAACGTGAAGATATTATGTAGGCACTTATGTAATCATTTAAAAAGCAACTATTTAAAAATGTGAAAAGCCTTGTTAATTCACAGATTGTGTAAAAGGAGCTCAGATTTGACCTGAGGATGAGTGTTTGCTGACCCTGTTTTCAAGGCTGCTCAGAGGCTAATTCTCCAACCGAACACCTGCTTCTAGCTGTTTGCTTTCTCAGACATGAGCACTGTCTATCATGAGGGACTGAATTTGAGGGAGGGAATAGAAGGAAGGAAGAAGGGAGGGGATCGCTAGTTTGGACTGTAGCTCTAGGAAAGAGAGAGGACAAACGAAGGGTGAGAGGACACTGGTCGGCTGACCGCCCCCTTCCTACTCATAAGTGCCCTGGATGGGACTTCTATGGCCGCAACAGATCTTTGGGGGAGATGTCACCATGATGTTTGTTAACCCCAGGGCCAGTTCACCCTTGGTCCCTTTACTTCTCCTGTCTGTAGGTTTCATAACAACGAAAAGCACCCAGTTTGCCAGGGATTTCTGCCCCACTAAAGACATCAGTCCAGCCATTAAGACATTTCTGTGCCTCCTTTGTCTGTGTGACTTGAGCAAGTTACTTAACCTCTCTGAGCCTTAATTTCCTCATCTGCAAAATGAAGATCATAGCACCTGCCTCCAAGGGGTTTTTGTGAGGATAAAGGAAACGTTGTCTGTGAAAACACACTTAGTGACTGTTAGCTGTGCTCAGCATCATTTTCTCTTGGCACTCCCTCTTTTCTCTGCCACTGCTCACTGTTGATTTGGTTTGTCCTGTTCTTCCTTTGGTAAGGCTGGAAAAGAGGAGCAGGAGGGCATGGAAGAAAGCACCGCATCAGTGGGCAGGCAGGAGAAAGAAACAGAATCCTCTGATGCAGAGGACACAAGGACAAAGGTAAAGTTTGCGTAGAGCCACATGTGCATGATGGCAATGGGGCACCACGTCTCTGGAGGCCCCATCCTGCCCTGTGATGCCCCGCTCGCTGCACGGATGTGTCCAACACCCCGCCTGTGATTCCACGAATGAAGCCAGCATGGTTTTGGGAGAATGGTTTTCCCTGGGATCTTTGCACAGTCTTTACTAAGGAGCTCTTTACCATATGCCTGGGCTCTGCCTCAGTCTCCAACGACTTGGCTGTGCTCGTAAGAGAAAACATGTGCCCAAAAAAGACTCAGGCTTCAGAGCCAGGCTCCCAAAATAGGTCCCTTGGGAGGGGCTGGGGGAAGAGGGGAGCTTTGGATGCACAGGCTGGGGCCCTGACTTCAGCATGCCCAGACCCTGGGACTAACAAAACATCTACTGTGCTCGCAAAGATTATTTGACTTAATTAAAGTAAAACATCCACTTACAGTGTTGGGGCTGCCTCAGCAAAAAGAAATGTGTTTGGAACGTGGCCAGCTTTGTGTCTTTCTGGTCAGGAGAGGTAGAGAGATGGGTATCACTGGCAAGGAAGTTGATCTCCGAAATCTGGCTGCTGGGGACGTGAAGAGAAGTTTCAGGAGGGGCTGAGTATGAGCCATGGCTGTGTAGGTTGCACCCTTGCTGGGAAAGGGACCTTGGGGGAATTTAGTGTGGGGGTGGGGTGGGGGGACTTTGCTACTGTTACATTCAGTGATGGCCTACATGCAAGGAAATAGCTCCAGCAAGTTGATTTATTTAGAGTTTGTAAGTTTGTCATTCACTCATTTAAAAACTGTTTATTGAGCACCTATTACGTACCAGGGCTTGAAATTCTGTGTGCCGTTTTAAACGTGGTAGATGAAACATTAAGGGCTTATTCCAAATGCTGTTTTGAGCCCCAACCTAGAGATGAATCAATGATGTGGGACTTGAGTGGGTTACAGCTCCTCATTAGCCAGCAAATGTTCCCAGGCAGAAGTAAGAGTGCTCAGGATCTTTCTGGTTTTTAGGGGTCCTGTGGTCAAGGTTTGTGCGCTCTGGTTGAATACTATGACCTGCTTCTCAGTCACTCTCTGACCCTTATTCTGCATTTTTGTTCAGGAGCAAGACTGGGAGAGTGGAAGTGAGGCAGAAGGGGAGAGCTGGTATCCCACTAACATGGAAGAGCTGGTTACAGTGGACGAGGTTGGGGAGGAGGAAGATTTTATTATGGAACCAGACATCCCAGAACTGGAAGAAATTGTGCCCATTGACCAGAAGGACAAAATCTGCCCAGAAATATGTCCCTGTGTGACGTCCACCTTAGACCTGGACGTAACCAAGGATTTCACCAACGAGTGTGTGAAGCCCATAGGTAACGGGGCTACAGAACTCAGCCTCAAGTCACCCAAAGATCTGCCTTCTGCTTCCACGAGCTGTCCCAGTGACATGGACGTGGAAATGCCTGGCCTAAATCTGGACGCTGAGCGGAAGCCAGCTGAACGTAAGACAGACCTCTCACTGGAGGGTTCAGATTGCTACGAGAAGCAGGCAAAGGGAGGGGAGAGCTCCGATGTTCATCCGGCCCCTCCACTCCAGCAAATGTCTTCCCCCAAGCCAGCAGAGGAGGGGACCCGGCAGCCTAGCCCACCTCTCGATGACTGCAAGGCCGGGGGGCCCCCCGAAGATGGGGCATGTGAAGGCGGTCCCCTGGAGGGGAAAGCCAGCCCCCGCACCGAAACTGACCTCCAAAGCCAGGCTTGCCAAGGAGTGTCCACCCAGGGTAACTACCTCCCTTTTCTCCTGTGCGCTTGGGTTGATGGGACCACTGCTCACCTAGGGAGGTGTGTGGGCATGTGCAGGCTGGAATGAACATGACTGAGGTTTCAGCCAGCATTAAAGTCGGTGCAGAAAGCCAGCTTCTAAAGGCCTGGTTAAACGGTTAGCGCTTTTAGGCAAACGGTGTAAAGGAAATCAGATAGGAGGCCACATGTTTTCTGAGAAGCAAACTCAGATAGGGCAGACTTCTCTGAATTTACGGGAGCCCAGGTGGACTCTGACAAGTAAAACCTAGCAAAAGCTTTGAGTTATCAGGCCAAGGGGCTTCGGGTCCTCCGGTCAGCAAGCAGCCTGTCATGGCTGCACAACGGTGGACCACCCAGGCTGTTATTTCTGTGAGGCCCGAGTGAGGGGGCGGGAAAAGCAGCCAGGAGCGGGCGGAGGTTAGGATCAAGGTGCTGCCGAGGGGTATGGCCGGTTCCCCTTGCTACCACCGCAGACCCCCTCTTTTCCACGGCCTGGTGGTGAAACAAGGCTTGTCCCAGACTGTCCTCCGCCTCCATTGCAGGTGATGTTGTATCTGTGCCCGGCGCTATGACATCATGAGAGACGGAGTTTAAAATAGGCTAAGCCCTGTCTTCTCTGCCAAGTGGAAACAAAGATCCATCAAGGGCCACGGCGGGAGGGAGGGGGGGCAGAGGAGGAGGAGCCCTCAGTGTTCTCCACATGGAAATAACTAAAGCTCCATTTCGCAGAAAGCCTGCGGCACTTGGAAGGTTGAAGTAGGGGGGCCGAGAGGTGGGGACAGAAGCCGTTGAGTAAAGGCTTGAAAAGAGACATTTCCATCCAGCGCCCTGCGGCCGGCATGAGCCTGTCAGGGAGCTGGAGGCTCCGGCTTTCCTCCCTGTCAAGCTGACCTGAGCTGTTTTCCACCTGCGAGTCTCCATGGAAACTGCCACGCGCTGCCTTCTTGTTGCCAGAGAAACACTGAGGCCCGGGCTGTGTCTACAGAAGGCAGGAGTAAAGAAAGAGCAAACTGTTCACCTTGCCCTGATTGAACCCCTTTAGTTTGCCGGATAGGCCTCAACATGCACTGGTGTTAATGGCTTATTAGCTTACCCAGTGTTTGGAGTTCATATTTAATAACACTGCTCTGGCAGCTTGGGGTGGAAACGGCACTGCCCCTTCTGTCAGCCTCTGCCCCTACAGACGTCAGCACAATTTTTGCCCTTCTGCCTGCAGGGATGGAGCGATTTGTGAGTTGGGGGGCAAGGTAGGGATCCTCCCAGCCCAAAGGGGCAACAGCCCATCCCCCACAGACCCAATGCAAAGGTTTGCCAAGGGTCCGTGGGTGTGGCATTCTTTTTGGCAGTGGAGCAAACTCTTAATTACAGCATTTTGGACCTAATTAGCAGTCCTTGCCCTAGCTTCGTGTTATTAAGCCATGCAAGGGACCATTCCTGATCACACAGTGCAAGAATAGAATTGCAGGGAATCTTTGAGGTCTGTTGTGCTTCATTAGTTCTCTGCCTTGGCTCATGTTTTGCAGAAAACTCCAGGTACATGGAAGTAAAATCTTTGGACGTGAGGTCACCGGAATACACGGAAGTGGAGCTGAAACAGCCCCTCTCTTTGCCTTCCTGGGAGCCCGAGGATGTGTTCAGTGAACTTAGCATTCCCCTAGGTAGGTGAAATACACAGTCCTTCCTGAGAATTCAGCTCCAGGAAATGATCGTTCCATGGACACACCTAGGAGCTCCAGAGGGCCTTTTGTCATTTTGTTGTTGTGTTTAATGTCTGATGTAATGACTGAGACACGCAAGGTGCGTATCTTTAAAGTTTCTTGCAATTTCATTCTCCCATGATAGACCAGATACCTCATGGTATCAGGCCTTGAGCAGCATTGCCCTGGGAGCCAGAGCAAAGACTTGACTTCCCTATTTGGGAATGCTTTGTTTCTGACCATACGGCTTTATTCAGGTAGGGATCAGAGGCCCCAGTGGCTGCCCAAAGTCAGCAGAAATGAACGTCTTCAGCTACTGGCTTCCCTATCCCAACCCTTCCCAAAACATTTGTTTGTTCTTTGAAGGACGAACTTCTGTGAGGCAGTGATGCTGAAGAGACTGCATTTGGGGCAGATACAATATAGTTGATGGAAGGAGCATTGTACAGAGAGAGACATGGTCCCCTTTCCTTCCTATTCTACTTATTGGATGACTGCGTAATCTCAGACAACCCATCCCCAGGATGTATTTTGATTTTTTTTTTTCCTCAGTCACTACAAGTCCTTTATTAACAAGTCAATAAAAGAAAGAGAGAAAGATTGGGAGGTAAAACTACTTTTCTTGGAGGCTCTTGGAGTGGAAGGTACTGTCAGAACCCACCTGGCAGTCAACCCAGCCACAGGCAGAATGGAGATTGGGGATCCAGGGGACCAGATGGTAGGGGGCAATGAGAAGGGGGTGGCTCGGGCCTCGGGCAGGGAATGTGCAAATGCAGAGGCCTGACCGGCAATGATAGGTTGGGGTTCCTGAGCCTTAGTGTTTTCACCTATAATATGGGATTGACTTGGATCACTGGTGTTTTAATGGTGGAAGTGTTGGAGGGGGATGGGAAGGGAGGTTAATAATAAATCAGGGGCGCCTGGGTGGCTCAGTCGGGTAAGCGTCCAACTTCAGCTCAGGTCATGATCTCATGGACCATGAATTCGAGCCCTGCGTCGGGCTCTGTGCTGACAGCTCAGAGCCTGGAGCTTGCCTCGGATTCTGTGTCTCCCTCTCTTTCTGCCCCTCCCCTGCTCATGCTCTGTCTCTCTCTGTCTCAAAAAAATAAAAAAATAAAAAAAATAATAATAAATCAACTAGGACACATTTTCAAAGGGGAGAGTTAACTAAAGTCTCAGGGCAGAGTGAGGGCACCTGGGAGCTTCTGACACTATCGCTAACCCAGTGACTCCCACTCCACATCATCTTTGAGTCTTTGCTTTGACTTTGAGAGGTTGGAAAGCAACGAGACAAAGGAGAAGTAGCAGCTGCTTGAGAGAGCGCTTAGGCAGGTGTCATTTGGGAAAGTGTCACAAGGAAGCACGAGAAGAATGGGTTATGTGATGACCAGTGACCACATGTCTGCTTATTCAGGGAGGGGCTGGTCAGTACAGATGCTCACCCTTTCCATCAGGTTTCTCTTTTTGTTTTCATCTCCTTTTAAACATTTCTTACTGCTTTTGTCCTCCAAATGCTCCATTTTCATAGAGTACTCCTTGGTACTGAGCAGCGCTTACTAGATAACATGGCACCATGCAGAGCACTCTGGGGCAGTTGAGAAATGGAACACAAGTCTCCAAGAACTTGGAATCTGTATGACCCACACAAGCAAAAATTAAGAATAAATTCTGCTACCTTGTAATTCATATCTCTTTTATTATTTTTCATTCCCAAAAGTGTGAAAGATTATTATGACAAATTAAAAAAATAAGAGCCATATAAGGGCACCTGGGTGGCTCGGTCGGTTAAGCGTCCGACTTAGCTCAGGTCATGATCTCACAGTCCGTGAGCTCGAGCCCCGTGTCAGGCTCTGTGCTGTCAGCTCAGAGCCTGGAGCCTGCTTTGGATTCTGTGTCTCCTTCTCTCTCTGCCCTTCCCCCACTCGTGCTCTGTCTCTGTATCAAAAAGTGAATAAACGTTAAAAGAATTTTTTTTAAATAAGAGCCATATAAAGTATATGTTAAATGTTGTGTTTCTTCCCTCCAGTTTTCTCCCCAGCTCCAGAGGTAGCCATGGTCATACCCACGGGCTAGATCACACTATACACAGAATGTTCTACAGTTTGCTTTTTTTTTTTTTTAATTGTTAATGTTTATTTATTTTTGAGAGATGGAGTGTGAGCAGGGAAGGGGCAGAGAGGGAGACACGGAATCTGAAGCAGGCTCCAGGCTCCGAGCTGTCAGCACAGAGCCTGACATGGGGCTTGAACTCAAGAACTGGGAGATCATGACCTGAGCCAAAGCCAGATGTTTAACCAACTGAGCCATCCAGGCACCCCCACCCCCTTTATTTTAATTTAAAAAAAATTTTTTATGAGAGAGAGTGAGAGAGTGCAAGCAGGGGAAAGGGGCAAAGGGAGAAAGAATCTTATTAAGCAGGCTCCACATTCAACACAGAGCCCAACACGGGGCTCAATCCCACGACCCCAGGGCCATGACCTGAGCAGAAATCAAGAGTCAGACACTCAACCGACTGAGCCACCCAAGCGCCCTTCCAATTTGCTTTTTTAACTTAACAGTGGGTCTTAGAGATCTCTTCACATCAGTACACAGAGAATGCATTCTTCTGAACCAGCACACATATTCCATCCTAAAAGATGTACACCATAAATTACTTATCCATTTCTCTCCTGGTGAACACTTAGGATATTGTCAGTTTCTTTTCCCATTATTAAAGGGCTATAATAGTTAAGCTTTTATTTTTATGATTTACCATGCAGGCACCATTGCTAGTGCTTACCTCATGTAACTCTCTCAAAACACCTATGAGGTACGTGATATTTTTATCCTTATTTTATAGGCTAGGAATCTCAGATGCAGAATTACAAAGGTGATGATTAGCAAAGATTGGAGCCAGGATTCAAATCCCAGTAGTTTGACTCATGGGGCCCTGCCGCCTCTATGCTCTGCTGCCTTCCAGACATGCTCTTACATTTGTGTGCATGCCTGGGTTTCTGTAGGACAGCGTCCTAGACCATGGGATTGCGGGGTGGGGGGGGTGGCATCAGATATATTTGCATTTCACATTTTCATAATTGCTGCTAAATTGCACTCCATAAAGATTATACCAGTTTTCACTGCCGGAGTGAGGATTCTCATTCTCCGCTTCCTTACCAACATTGGATGTCATCAGTTTTTAATCTTTACCAACCTGTTGGGAAAATGGGATCTCATTCTGTTTTTAAAAACAGCTCTAATGAAGTATAATTGACGTTAATGAAGTACACATACGTAAGGCGTACAGTTGATCAGTTTTGACATATATGTACATCTGTGAGACCATTACCACAATTAGAGAGCGAACGTATTCATCACTTCTTAAATTTGCTGGTGCTCCTTTGTAATTCCTCCCTCCCCACACCTCAGTCCCCAGGTAACTACTGATCTGCTTTCTGTCACTAAATACTAGTTTGCATTTTAGAATTTCATAGAAAAGGAGTCATAAGGGATACATTGTTTTTGCCTGACTTCTTTCACCCAGCATAATTATTTTGAGATTCATTGATAATTGTGGGGTGGATCAATGGTTGGCTTCTTTGTGTTGTTGAGGAGTATTGCATTGTGGATACAGGTAAACCACATTTTGTTGATTCATTTGTCTCTTGACGGGCATTTGGGTTGCTTCCGGTTTGGGCCTTTTACAGATTGTACTTTTGTCTTGAATGTAGTCTTCGGTTAGCTTTGAGACCCATTATCTTATCTCAGGGGGTCGGGGTATGGTACTATTTTCCGCATTTGACAGGAGAGGAAATGGAAGCCCAGATGCTTACCCAAGAACACACATCAAGTTCAGGTCAGAACTCGGGGCTTCTAATCTGAGACCACTCTGCCATTCTGGTTCCTCTGGCACAGGAAGCACAATGTAGGAAAGGCAATTTTTGTGTAGTGGTTAAGAGCACAAATTGTGGGAAATGACTCCCCAGGTTCAAATCCCAGCTGGCTAGGAGACAATGAGCAACCTCTTTGACTCTTTTCATTGATTTATTGACTTTCTTCATCAATAAATAAGGGTAGTAACATAGAAGCCCACTGTGTTCAGTTACTTTGAGGATGAAACGCATGAGTACGTGTAAGGTCTTAGTATCTTCCAGTAGGAGGTACTGAAGGGTTGTCTGTTGTTATTACTCGTTCATGAGGTAGTAATGGAGACCTACTGTTTCCTCTCACTCAGGCTGCATAACCCTCACCCTCCAGAATCGGTCACTACTGCAGAGACTTCTAGGGAGGCAGGGAACGACTTTCAGGCTTTGTCCCTACAGAGAGCAGGGAGGCGAAGGGGAAATGCCAGGATCCAGAGTAAAAGGGAGGTGAAGTGCCATTGCTCAGGGACTGGGGTGAGCATGGCTGGCGGGGAGAGGGCACTGCCCATGTGTTTCAGGCCAGCTTTGGGTGACCCTAGCCAGCCTGCGCCTGCCAGGGCCTGTGCTTACCAGTACCAAAGGGCGTTGTCTGCAAAAACGCAAGGTCCCCCTGCACCCATCGCAGGCTTTGCTGGGATGACCGAGTTAGAATTGCCCGGGCCAGGAGCTATTATTAGAAAGCAAATGCAGCTTTAATCGTTGTTCCCTTAGTAGAGGCTGAAAAATGGGAGGACCACGTGGCTCCAGACTGGTTGGGGAGCTCACAGTTTTCTCGACGCGGTAGCGTCACTTGTGGCCCTCCCATTCCAGAGGCATCCAAGACGGTGTTGGCATGTAGTGCCCGGGGCAACTCCCAGTTAACTCAGGGGGGAGTCGCCAGGCATTCGGGGATCCTCCTCAGGCTTCTCCTCCCTCAGCGCGGTCTTTTCAGCACCTGGTACCGCCTGCCCAGCCGCTGGGCACCAGGCAGGGGCAGGGAAGTGTTGCTGCCAACCTTTGGAGTCTGGGTTCTCCAGGCGGCCCTGGTGAAAGGTTAGAGGGCAATAAGGCCTCTGTGGAGAAATGTGTCTGGAAACTCTCCGTTTCTGAGCACCAGGCAAAATGAGAGGTGCTACCCATAACACCCTTCGTGGGGGTATCATTTCTGTTTTACAGAGGAGGAAGCTAATCTCAGAGAGTTTAAATAATGTACCTGAGGTTACACAGTGTAAGTCAAGGAGCTAGATCTGTCTGACTCTAAATTCTATTTTCCCTCCATTATTCCGTGGCTTCCAAGCTTGTTTTTGGTTTTTGGTTTTGCGTTTTGTGTTTCTGTGTTTTTTTGGCAGTGGGAGCCTTTGTTCAAGTGCAGTCTCACCCAGAACCAGCCCCCCACACGGTAGCTGTGCTTCTTGTGTTGAAAGGGGCCACAGCTGCCAGCTTGGGCCCAGCTTTACACTCTGGTGGCTTCTGAGGCAGCGAAGCTCCTTCTGGGGGACCCAGGGCAGCGGTTAGAAGGTCTCTGGGGAAACTTGAAGGATGCTGGAGGCCTTACCCCGGGGCCTGCAGTGAGACCCCAGGTTTCTGTGCTGGGACCACCCAGCTGGCCCAGCCAGCGTCTGGGGCAGGACAGAGGAAGGAGTGGCTCTGATCCCAGGCCTGTGTCTGCTCCGCATGGTCTCCGGGTAGTGCTTCTTCCTTCCCAATTGCCTTTATCTCCCTGTTCTGCAGCAGCAAGGGGGGGGGGGGGCGTTCTGTGGGAACAGGGGATGAAGGCGGGCCTTGCTTCATTTATGCTCCTTCGCCACCAGCCTGTTTGTGGGGTGGAGGGGGGAGCTGGGCCACCCACAGGCAGGGCAGGGGCCGCTTTTCTGTCCCTTGCAGTGAGGGCGGGAGGAAGGTGAGGAAGGGAAGGACACAGCCTCCCTCTGGGCAGAGGGCCGAGGGAGGCCCCCTCCCTGCTGGAGACTGCTGGAGGCAGGGCAGCACTCTGCGTGGCAGTTAGAGAAAACTGGCTGAGGAGGCTGCCAAAACCAGGCCCCAAACCACAGAGGAGCAATCAGTCAAGGCAGGCCTGGGGCAGGCCTCCCGGGCTCCCCACTCCCTCCAGGCCCCCTGCTGCACACTGATAAGTGGCTCTTTTGACACGGAAAAAAAAATTGTAATTACAAGTCTAAGCTGCTGCTCTATGACAGGGTCTCCTGTGCGCGTAGGTCTGTCTCCACTCTGGGAGGCCGAGGCAGGAAAGCGAAGGAAGCCCGGACTCGTGGTCACACGCAGCGCCTCGGTGGGGACCTGGCCTGTCTCCCTCTGTGCAAGAAGAAGCGGCCGTTCCCCCGGTGGGCTGCTCCCAGCCCCGCTCTCCCGTCCCCGCCCCCCCCCAGCCTCCCACGCCGCCCCCCCACCCCCACCCCGACTCCCGTGCAGGCAGCTCTCCGACCACTGCCGCCCCCAGCAGGGCAGCGGGCGCTAACCAGATGGGCGGCAGCAAAGCCCAGCCGAGTGCCAGGCGCACACACCAGCGGCCCCGGTCTGGAAGCAGGATCCGGGCATTCGGAGCCGCCAGCCCCGTTCCTTTAGTTCCATCACGGGTCCTGCTTTTTCACAGCCCTTATACCTGCTCTTCTGCTGGCATGTCACAATCAGGCACCTGAAGAAGCCGAGGCCCCGGCCAACGGTGGCGTTCACCTGACTCTCCCCGGTTTCCACAGGTTCCTGGAGTCTGGTCTGCACCCTCTCAGACCTGGGCTCTTTCCACTCTGCTGACCGTGGCTTCCAGAGGAGAACCATGGGGTGCCTGGGCGGCTCAGTCAGTTGAGTGTCCGACTTCGGCTCAGGTCATGATCCCACGGTTCGCGGGGTCCATCCCTCCATCAGGCTCTCTGCTGTCAGCCTAGAGCCTGCTTTGGATCCTCTGTCTCCCTCTCCCTCTGCCCTTCCCCTGCTTACACTCTCTCTCTCTCCCTCCTTCAAAAATAAATAAACACTTTTTAAAAAGTAAAAAAATAAACTCAGCAAGGGGGCTAGTAATTTAAAAAAAGAAAGAGAGAGAGAGAGAGAGAGGGAGGAGAACCGTGGCCCTCAGAACACCGTGGTGAAGGCTGGAGTTCCTGCCCTCTCTTTCAGGTGAATCCTCTGGGCTGGGACACTGCCACTTAACTTCCCTGGCTATTGGGCCACTCTTTTCTTTCCTTTAAATCAAAAGGCCTCCCAGAATCCTGTGACCTCTGTTTAGCAAATCCCAAATAAAATGCTGTTGGTTAATGGCTCAGAGGTAAAGACTGGAGAAGGGTGGGAAAATGTTTATGATTTTACATAACTGTTACGTGGAAAAGGGAGGAGACAGAATTGCATTTAGGGAACAGTTAAAACGGCCCCCCCGCACCCCCCACCAAAAGAAAATATTTTGATTGAAGGACTGAGTGATTTTTCCTCACTTCTGTGTGTTTTTAAATTTTTCTTTAATGAATATGATTCTAAAACAAACAAAAATGAGAGCATTCTTTCAGAGTCCTGGCCACAGCAGCTACAGAGAGGGGTACAGCATGGAGAAATGAAAGCCAAGCAGTGAAATGCGAGAAACCTCCTTCCTCCTCCTCTCCCTGCAAGCAGGCTGATGGTCGGAGGGCTTCGGTCTGCAGAGGCAGCCGCAGAGCGTAGAGTTGCTGAGCATTCCAGCACGCTTGAGGGAGTTCATCCCTTCCTTCAACCGCCTGTGAACGGAGTCGGCACTGTTTTCCTCATGCCTGCTCTGCAGATGGGGAAACTAGGCTTGGAGAAGCTGGCCAGCCAGCCAGAGTCCACGGCAAGCGAGGGACGGAGCTCGCTGCTCCCGTTTCCACTGACGGCTGGCAAGGCCACAGGGGTCTCACGTTGCCTTCCTAACCCCTGCCTGTCCATCATCCCCTGTCCTTCTGCAGGGGTGGAGTTCGTGGTGCCCAGGACTGGGTTTTACTGCAAGCTGTGTGGGCTGTTCTACACCAGCGAGGAGATGGCGAAGATAAGCCACTGTCGCAGTGCTGTTCACTACAGGAACTTACAGGTAACCAGCGCCTTCCTTGCTGAGCAACCGGGGACTCCCTGGTCTCTGTGTCTGGGAGTTTCCATTTCCTTCCACCACATGGAGAACTGCTCTTTCCTCAGGCTTGACTCCGCCAGGCTGCTGCACATGGTGGCTGCCTCCCCTGAGCTCTCGGGGCATCTGTCTCTCCTGGAGTATTCACAAGACATTCTGTTCGGGCCTGGATTTGGGGGTATCTGTCTCTCTCTCTCTGTCCTGAGTAATTCAAGCTAGCCATCACCTGGCCCGTGGGTGAGGCTGAGTCCTGTTCACAAGACTTGGATGTTCCAGAGGCAGAGATTTCTCTAGGTTTCTGTTCCCCCATGCAGTATCCCTGTTTGCTAGAATAAAAATCACTGTTTTGTCCTATTTAAATCTATCCTGCAGCTCTTAATTGCAGGCATACTAGGTACAGACGCTGCTCTAGGCACTGGAGATACAACAGCGACGATGACAACAAATCAGACAAAAATCCCTGCCCTCCTGGGGCTTCCATTCTAGTGTAGGAGATAAGCGCTAACTAAAATAAGAGTTAAAGTATAGTAACAGGGGACATATTAAAAATACTCTACATACCAGATTTCATCCAGTGTAAGGTGCTGTCGGTTGTAAGACACGCTCCCATTTCTCGGAGACCAACAAGAAAAAAAAAAAAATGTTGCAATGGTGAGACTCCATCAATTGTAAAATACATCTCAATTTCAGAGATGTGAATATGTGGGGAAAAAACCCTCATCTTAAAATCAGAGAATTACAGGAATATGTTCTATAACTAATACCCCTAATATGTAGTGTGTTGGAACAGCTGGGGTTTAGTAACTTAATAGAAAGCGTGGCATATCAGATGCCCGGGAGAAATAGTTCATGGCACCTCATGTTTTTACTACAAGGAGTCAGACTGGTGTTTTGACACAGGAGGCCTCAACTAGGACAGACCCTCATGGTGGCAGCATGCCCTAATTCCTGAGCAGGCATTACTGTCACAATTAAATTGTGGAGGATCTGATCTAGCATTTCTTAGCCAGAGATGTGAAATAGAATCACCTGGACAGTGTTTTGAAAGTATATATATACTAGGTTAGATACTTGGTAGAATTTGGGGGCAGGGGTCCAGGAATACATAATTTCAGAAAGTTCTCCATATGAGTCTAATGTGCATTCCTAGTTAAGAAATGCAGATATGGGTCAACTCTTTTGTTTTATGGCTAAGGGAAACTGAGACCCGGAGAAGCTATGTGATTTATCCAAAGCCATGCAGATGGTGAGTTACTAGGCTTGGGAACAGATTGCCTGATTCTTTTTTTTTTTTTTTAATTTTTTTTAACACTTATTCATTTTTGGGAGACAGAGACAGAGCATGAGTGGGGAAGGAGCAGAGAGAGGGAGACACAGAATCTGAAGCAGGCTCCAGGCTCCGAGCTGTCAGCATAGAACCCGATGCGGGGCTCGAACTCACGAACTGTGAGATCATGACCTGAGCCAAAGTCGGACTCTCAACCGACTGAGCCACCCAGGCGCCCCCTTTTTTTTCTTTTTTAAGTTTATTTATTTATATTGAGAGAGAGCAGGTAAGAGGCAGAGAGAGAGGGAGGGAGAGAATCTCAAGCAGGCTCCATGTAATCAGCACAGGGCTCAATGTGGGGCTCGAACTCACAAACCTCAAGATCATGACCTGAGCCCAAGTCAAACATTTAACCGACTGAGCCACCGAGGTGCCCCCAGGTTGCCTGATTGTTAATCACTTTCCTTTTTTTTTTACTCTATTAAGCTGATCTTCCAAACCGAGGCCCATAATAGCATAGCCTGTGTCACCATCTGTCATTGGCCGTGCCCAAACTCATGTCATTTAAACCTCTTGATTTCCCTCTGGGAGAAGCTGCTCTGTGGACAAGGAAGCTATGGAGCCTGGGGCCCAAATCCTGCCCTCTCCTGGGGGAGCTCAGTGAAGGCCTGACTTGGCCAGACCAAGGATTCAGACTGGGCTCCACAGGGCCAGTTGAGGGCAGCCATCTACTCTGAAGACATCCTCCTCTTCCACTCCAACAAGATAAAATCTATAGAATGGCAGGGCTGAATGGGGTCTTGGAAATCATCCGGTCCTGATTTTCCCAAACTATGGTCCCCATACCAGCTAGCATCTTTTAAAAATGCAGCTTCCTGGACCCACCCTACTCCTGCTTATTCATTCTTTCCAGGGCTGGCCCTGAGAATACTCATTTAAAAAATCTTTCCAGCAAGTTCTGATACCTCGACTTGAGAACTTTTGATCTCATGTGGCATTCTCAGCTAGATTATGTAGCTCTCAAGGAGGCCACACAGCTCAAGGTCATTCAGGAAGTTAGGATAAGTATAGGCTTGCCAAGGCCTCTGGTTCTAAATCCTGGATTCTTTTCCAGGGCAGTGGACTATACTATGTTCAGGGCCTATGGGCCAACCCCCCAGGCCACCTTACTTCCCCACAGCAGGCCAGAGCCATTCCTGTGGTCCCCAGGCACGTCAGGACCAGACATGGGCTAAGCCTTTTAGGCCTGCCAACTGCAGATCAGGTTTCCCTGGTACACCTGTTGGGGAGCTGGGAGCCTCCACCGCGGGCTTCCCAGATAAAGTTTCTGTCAATGGCCTTGACAGAATGTCTCTTGTCCACACAGCCTCGCCCACCCCACACTACCCCGAGTTACACGTGGGAAAAGTGAAGAATTGAGACCCGAGCAGCAGTGCTGCTCACACCTGAGTCAGGCAACTTGTAAACTTAGCAGCACCAGGAGGCCTTGAGGTGGGGGTGAAGGATTACTCTTTGAGGTAGGAGGCAGCCTCCATTCTCTCTGTGCATTCTCTCACAGCTACTGCTGTGCCCCCACCGCTGGTCACAGCCCTGAGATAACCCACCCCGAGTGGCCTGGAACAACAGGTGCGGTCAAGTGCTTGAGAGGAAAACTAGGGGCGCCTAGGTGGCTCGGTCGGTTGAGCGTCCAAGTCTTGATTTTGGCTTGGGTCATGATCCCAGGGTCATGGGATTGAGCCCCAAGTAGGGCTCCGTGCCGAATGTGGAGCCTACTTAGGATATTCTCTCTCTCTCTCTCTCTCAAAAAAAAAAAAAAAAAAGAGAGAGAGAGAGAGAGAGAGAGAGAGAGAGAGAGAGAAAGATAAGCTAGGTGCCTGCCTGGTTGCAGGTCCAGAGCTCACAAGCAGTGCATCACCCACTTGCCTTCCTGAGATGAGGTGGAGGGCAAACCAGGCCTCCATCAGCAGCCTGGCCCACAGGGACCCTTGGTCTGTCTGCCGCCCTTGCCATCGGGCTCACCCACCTCTCAGAGCCAACTAGTCTGTTCTAGAGAGAGCAGGTGGTCTTACGCACATCCCCTCATCTGACCCTCAGAATCACCCTGAGAGGAGGGAAGGCACTGTTTCTCCCACTGACCAGGTTAGCAGAGCTGAGAGCAGATGAGGGACTTACCCAGAATCAGATGCCTGATGCAACTCATGATAAAGGGCAACATTACAGAGCGTTTATTCTGTGCCATGCACTATGCTAAGTGCTTTACGGTACTTTCCCTGGACCTCGTAGCAACCTTACGTGGTAGATACTGTTACTACCCACACTTTACAGATGTCAGAGACCTTGGGTCACTTGCCTGCTGAGAGCTAGGATTTGAACCCAGGTCATCTGATGGCAGAGCCCACACACTTGACCACTGCGCTGGATCAAACCCTGCTGACTCCTCACCCAGTGCTCTTTGCACTGCCACCTGCTGCCCTGGCAGTCAGAGGACCCAGCTGGGGCCCTAGGCCTTTCTACTTGTGTCTCACTGTGTGGAATCTAGAATCCCAAGCGTGGCCTGACGTTTGGCTGGGGGCCAGTGATAGTGGTGAGTGTTTGGGGGGCCGTGTGAGCAGCTCCGACTATAGAACAGGAATCCAGCAAAGGACCTCCAGGGCACTCAGCCTGCCCACCCGCCCACCAGGAGACAGGTTGTTAGGAGAGGCTGCAGTGTGTCCTTCACAATCCTTGGACAATCCAAGGACATTGCTTCTCTCCTCCCGGAGGCCCGTTGGTCTAGCGGGCTGCTTCTCCCTCCACCTGTCATACACACAGCCCCTGGGTGCTGAAGCTGTCCTGGAAAACAAGTAGTCTTTGTAATTCAATGAGGTGTGGGTTCTTTTATGTTTATTTATTTATTTTGAGAGAGAGAGAGAGAGCACGTGAGTGTGAGCAGGGGTGACACAGAGAGCAAGAGAGAGAAAGAAAAAAATCCCAAGCAGGCCCCATGCTGTCAGTGCAGAGCCTGACATGGAGCTCGATCTCACGAACCGTGAGATCATGACCTGAGCTGAAATCAAGAGTCAGACGCTTAACCGACGGAGAGACCCAGGCGCTCCTAAATGAGTTTCTATAAGAAAAACAGCAGTGCTTGCACTGGATAAGGTCTTTGGAATTGTTTGCTGTTGTTAGGATCTGTGTTTTAGATGTCTTCTGCAAGAATCATGCATTACTTGTAAACTAACACAAAGAGTTGGGGTGGGGGAGCTTAGCATGGGTCCGGTAGCCTCAGAAGGATCTGGGGAGGGTAGGGAGGGGGTCCCACCCACTGGGAGACAAGATAGGAGAAGAGGCTAAGATACCTCCCTTTTCTCTCATTTCCTTTCTGGCCAGGTCACTGCTAACCCTCTCCCTTCCCTTCCCTGTCTTCCGCTGCAGAAGTACTTGTCCCAGCTGGCCGAGGAGGGCCTCAAGGAGACCGAGGGGGCAGGCAGCCCAAGGCCCGAGGACAGCGGAATCGTGCCACACTTTGAGAGGAAGAAGCTCTAGGCCCCTGCAGCGGCTTCAGCCGGGAGAGGACAGCCTTCTGAGGCGGGGCCTTCCTGACATCCTGGACAGGAGCCAAAGCCTGGGAGGAAGGCAAACCAGGCCGCCTGAGCTTTTTCTCGGAGACTCATGAAATCGCCCCTCAAGTGTCTCCCTGGTGAGAGCTGTCACCTCGTGTGTCCAGCGGCCGAGCGCTACCCTCTCTCTCCCCGTTGATTCTTGTTTCCTTCAATTTGCTTCTCTTCTTTCCCCTCCTCCTCTCACCTTCTGTGCCAAGGGTCATTTATTTTTCATAAAACCCAACTTCTCAGGGATTTTCACAGTGTCCAAATTCTTGGTGGCCAGCCGGATCAACCAAGGAAGAGATCTCACAGAAACCCCTGGGTCAAGAACCACTTCGGGGAGCCTGGAGCATTTTCCCTGCCTGGCATTCTGAGCAGGGGAGCCGAGTCGGGCCCTGCAGTCCTGGAGAGGGGGGCACCCTAGACCATCCGTTGGCAGAAGCTGGGAGTTTCTCCAGCGGGACCACTTTTGCGAAAAGCCCCCATTTTTAATAACTCTTTCATCCTCTCAACTATTCTAGAAGCCCATCAGATTCATGCCTTAAAATAAAGTTAATGAATTTCACAGAGGAGGAAAACCACTCTTCATTTTGGAACCTCTGTTAAGTCCCCCCCACCGCCCACCGCCCCACAAAGTTAGTTCTGTCCTCAGGATTTCAGGAGGTACCAGGGTTGGTTCTGTTCCAGACAATGAATTTGGTGTAGATTCACTTCAATAAAAAATTAAAACAGTAGTGTCTTTTCCCTTCAGCTGAGACCGTAGTTGGTGTGGGCTTGGGTCAGATGCTGGCCTCCCAGCCATGGGTCATATTGCTTGAGAGACACGTAATAAGGAAATGGTATCTGTCTTTGACTCGCTCTTGGTGCCTGCACTCTGGGCCCCAGCAGCCTCTCAGTGGGATGGTTTCTAAAATGGTCTTCGCGGGTGGGGGGCGGTGGAGAAGCTAAGGAAAGAGCAAGGCTGCAGGACTGAAGAGCAGCATTTCAGGATTGCCAAGTATTTATAGGTGGGCAGGAGGTCAAGGGCATTTCAGAGGACCCCATGTGCAGACTTTGATGTGGAGTGTTATGAAGAACAGAACTTTTCTTCCTGCATGGTTTTCTGATTCTAGAGGTCAGTGCCTTCAGGCCCGAGACTAGAGGGTCTGATATTCCATTGGGAGCATTTGGGACAGAGGTGTTAGGCTTGGCCACAGCTGTAGGGAAGACCTCAAGAAGGTAAGAGGGGAGCCTTGTGCTGTTTCCACAAGCTAATAAGCTACTTCCCTGGCTCAGCCCCTAGAAGATGGTTCCTATGTTTCTATTCCTGACCACAGAGAGAGAGAGAGAGACCAGGAAGGGATTGTTTGTTTTCTATTATTTTTTGCAATTGTTATAGTAGGTGAGATTTTTTTATGGTAGATACCTATGCTGCACATTCTGTCCTCTGCACTAATGGTGAAAGAATAGAAAAATCATCTGAGTTTGACACTGACATTTTATCAGTAAGTCTGAGGCACGGAGAAGAAAGAAATGTAGAATATAAAATGTATAAAATGATCCTGCGTAAACCTTGGGGCACATGGTCACTGGTGAGAAGAGTTGCGGGGAACCTGTCAAAGAGAACAGTGAAGGAAAGTACCCGAGGCAGACCAGCCAGCCCCTGGGCATGAGCAGTGAGAGGCTGGAGGAAGCAGGAAGCCTGACCTTGGCATCAGGCCATCTGGGGGCCTCGGAAAGGTTGGTGTCTCCAAGAGAGTGGGCTCTGAAAATGGTGGCTCAGCTCTAGCTGCCTCCACAGGTTTTTACCTGGTGTTCTGGAGACCAGCCTCCTCCATTTCTGGGAAAACCCCTGGCCCTATTTGTCTTTCCTCCCACCTGGGGGATGTCTAGGGTCAGCTCCCTGGCCTCCTCGGGAACCTTGCTGGGAAAAGCCTACCACCTCCATCAGAGGCTGGAACTGAGCATTTTCAGAGAAGCTGGCAGTCTTTTCTCCCAGCAAAGTGGAAGCTGACCCCACCGGCTCATCCCCGCAGCACTGTTTCCATGGAAACCAGGATAGCTGTTCAAACAGCCTCATTCCCAAGTAGCGCAATGGCTCCCTTGCTGATAGACTGACCTTCTCCATATTGCAAATCTGGCAAGAGCCCCTGGGAGGGAGAGAGGAGAGGCTCTCTGCGTTCAATCAGAACCTTCAGTTTAAAAATCATCTAAGATTCTGTACTGGTGTATATATATATATATATATATATATATATACATATATATTTATTTCTATTTATTTTTATACAATTCCATTGGCATGGTCCTTTACCCACTCTATAATTTGCACTCCTTGTTCCTACATGTGTCATACACAAGGCAGTATTAAAGAAAACCAGGAAAATACTGATCTATTTTTTAAAGCTTTTCTTCAGTGTTTGTCAAACATTTCAAAGTGTCTCCCCAAAAAGCTTGTTTGAGAGCAGCTGCTACCTTGAGCAACAGATTCATTTGTACCCTGGGTTGAGATACCAAAAGGCCGATGTACTTTTCATTGTAAACACCCAAAATAAAGTATATCCAGATGTTATTCCCAAAGAATTTGTTAGATTTGATGTTGGTGTGAGAACAGCCATTACTATCCGGGTTTCCCTTTCTTGGACAAGTGTAAGGCTGTGATCTGTTAGAATGTACTTGAACTGGACCAGAGTTTGTTTTTTGAGCTTATGAGAAAAAGAAAAAGAAAAACACTAGTTAAGCTTGAACTTGTAAAGTATTGGAATTTGTTGAGTGTCTTATAAATTGTCATCGCTTTTCCTGATCTGTATAATTGACCGCCATGTTTGTTTTTACAAAAAGAAAAAAAAGATTTTTAATAAAGACAATTTGAAAGCTTGTGGGTAGCTGTCGGTCATGCAGGGATCCTTTGACATGTGGCTGGGGGAAGCTCATTGAGCACAGAGATTGGTATCTGGTCCCTCTCCGAATCTAGAATGTCTCTAAAGCGTTGAGCAGAAAAGATACAACAGCTTCTACTCGGAGCTCGGGAATCAGAGATTCTTAGGGGTAGACCTCCAGAAGAGTTAAGCCTGGGAGAGTGGGGAGCTGCTGTCCCTTTTGAAGTATCAGGTAGAAAAGTCTCCTGGCCTCTTATAAGCCCCTCATTCCTACTGCCCAGTGCCCCGACTCTTCTAGTGGGCTGAACAACATTGTCCTGCACCAGGACAAGTCGGTTCGTTTCTGGCCATTCCTTCAGCTGATGGTTGATGCCTAGCCCGGGCACCTGTTAGCCCTGTGACTTCCTAAGTCCTGAGTTCTCAGGCATAAAGGGGGATTATAGTATAAATCACCTCTGGGTTGTTTCAGGTGTAAGGTAATTGCTGGTGAAAACACGTGGTTCGCTGCGTAGCCCTGAACCTTATTTCCTTTTGGAATGTTAAGCTCTTCCTCAGCCATGTCTTTTTTTTTTTTTTTAATTTTTTTTTCAACGTTTTATTTATTTTTGGGACAGAGAGAGACAGAGCATGAACAGGGGAGGGGCAGAGAGAGAGAGGGAGACACAGAATCGGAAACAGGCTCCAGGCTTTGGGCCATCAGCCCAGAGCCCGACGCGGGGCTCGAACTCATGGACCGCGAGATCGTGACCTGGCTGAAGTCGGACGCTTAACCGACTGCGCCACCCAGGCGCCCCCTCAGCCATGTCTTTTAGCAAAACAAGGCCAGTCTCCCGGGCCCATTTGGCCAGTTCTTTGAGTGGCCTGGAACCTTGTGTCGGGCCCTTCCCTCCAGTTGGCAGTGTTCCCAAGTCAGCGGGGAGGGGCTGGACAGTCTGGCCCTAGAGGGCAAAATGAGTGGGGCCGCCTGTAATTAGCTAGAGCACATTGTAGATCTGAGGAAAGTTCCTGTCAAGCCTGTTGCTGCTCCCAAGCCCCACCCTCAGCCTATTGTGGCCATCCCGGAGCTGAGCTCAGGCCTCCACTTCCCAACCAGGAGGGGTGGAGAAGCATCCTTCCCTGCAACTGTTGGCTGTGCCCCAGCTGGCCAAAGCAGTGAATGGGCCTGGAGCTTGTCCTCTGCCCCAAGTTCGGCATCCAGGATGTCTGGTTATGTCCCTGGTGCCAGGCCCAGCATGTCGCTCTACGAGGCATAGCTCTTGGGGTGGGGGTGGGGGTGGGGGGACTTGCACACTGTATTCTGTAAGATGGCCCTCCCTGGAGCTGTGCAGTGGAGATGTCCTGCCGGGAACTCTGTGAATTGCAGTCTTCCTGCCCTTGCCTGAGTTTTCCCATTTTCTCTCTGATATTCTTAAAGGCCCTAGAACCTGGTTCTGAGCCAGTCTACCAAGCTGAAGCCCTGATATTCAGACCCACTCTCTGTGCTTACTTCTCTTCCAAGGATCAATGCCAGACTGCCCCTGGTTCAACTCTGCCATGGCCTAGACGTTGAGGTTGCTTCTCATAGTCCGTGACTAGGCCAGGCTACTTGGGATACTGATCTTCCCCGCACTCCCCACCTTGGAACATCATTAGCAAGCAACTGTTGACTGTCCGCAGAGGCAGTAGGACATCTGGACTCACCCCCAACAGCCCTTCATTCTCCTTTCCCACTACAAAGGAGCCTATCCCAACCAGATTTCCAAGCAGGTTTGAACAGGAGGGACACAGGGACTGTCAAGTCCTGGTCCTTCTTTTCGCAGGTAAGAAAACTCAGGCCCAGAGAGGAGAAGTGATTTGCCTAAGGGGACACAGCTTAGATCAAGGTGAGCATCCAGATGACCCGGGTGGTCCTGCTGAGGACACCCAGGGATCTAGGTGTTTCAGTTAGATTCTTCACGAATTTTCCAGGCCCAGCCCTAGCTTGGACTTGGGCTCTCAGGGAGAACTCAAGACAAATCACTGTGTTTTATGCTTTGGGTGTATCCAAATCACCTGGGGAACTTGTTAGAACTACAGATTCCTGGCCCATCTATGGAGACTCTGTCTCCTTAGGTCATAGGAGCACGTGGATGCTTGCATTTAAGCAAGCCTGTGGGTGGTTCAATGCAGGCGGAGTCCTCTGCTCACACTTTGAAAACACTTCCCTCGAAGTCAACCAGGGACTTCCCCAGCAGCGCCTGGAATAGAAGGGACATTTATTTTGCTGGGGGAAGGGCAGGCAAGATGTGAATGGAGATCATTCAAGGTAGAAGAGACACCAGCGTGAAAGAGGCTTGAAGGAGGATTCTCATGGCCACGGCAGACGGAGATGGTGGCAGCTGGTGGTGGAAGGGGTGGTCACCAGACTGGGTTTGGGGCACGTGTCAGGATTTTTTCAGCTGGATTTATACCGCCTGTGCTCAGGCAAAAGTCTGTTTTCCAATGGTCTCTTTGTCCTTATTAATGGCTGAGGATACTGGTTAGTAAGAAGACTCCCTGAGGGGCGCCTGGGTGGCTCAGTCGGGTGAGCGTCCGACTTCGGCCCAGGTCATGATCTCGCCGCTTGTGAGTTCGAGCCCCGCGTTGGGCTCCGTGCTGCCAGCTGGGAGCCCGGAGACTGCTTCAGATTCCGTGTCTCCCTCTCTCTCTCTGCCCCTCCCCTGCTCACACTCTGTCTCTCTCTGTCTCAAAAGTACATAAACATTGGGAAAAAAAATTAAAAAGAAAAAAAGAAGAAGACTCCCTGAGATCTGCTGATAGCTCTGCCCCTCTGGGCAGAGAGCTGTGCACAGTCAGCAGGCCTTTTGGGGGACTGGAGTCCCACAGGACAGGGGCATCCCCCAGGGCCATGTCACTACCAGCGAGGTACCGTGAGGCTCGCACACTCTTTCTCCCACCATGAGAGCCACCACTAACACCAACATTAGCCCCGGAGACTAGCGAGCAGGTCTACGTGCCACACTCAGTTGTGCTCTCTTGGCCCAGTCATTGTCATTCTCCCATTTCACGGATGGGGCAAATGAAGCTCAGGGACCCAAAGTGGTTTGTCCTGGGGGTCAGAGAGCCAGTGAACGACGAGTTGGGGCTCAAACCCAGGTCCGTGTGACTCTCAAACCATGCTTTTAATGACTCTTCTCCACTGGCTGTCTCAGGGCTGGAGTCTTCTGTTCCCACATCTCCCGAAAGCCTCTAGAGCAGGCCCACCAGGAACAGCGGGCACGGGGTGATGGGAGAGCCCGATTTAGCTGTCCTCAGGTCTTATGACTGACACCTGGGTTGCTAAATTCCTGAAACTGATCTCAACACCTGCCCTCCTTAGAAAGTAACTAAAGGCAGGCCCCACTGGCCCCCCTGCAGAAAACAGACTGGAAGGCCCCACGCACGGAAGGAGCAGTTTCTTCCTGTCCCCGGGCAGTGGAGCTTGCCAGCGGAGCTGGATCTAGGGGTGAGAGGGGGAACAGGGCCCAGGGGTGGGGGGCTGCTCCAGTTCCTCCTGCTTCAGGGAGGGGAGGAGAGCACCGTGGTCTCTGTTTTCGGGTAATCTGGGGGTACAAGGGTGTGATCAAAAGGGGATTTCCCATGGCCCCAGCATGCCGGCCTGCCTTTGCCCTTTCAACCTCTCTTTCCTGAGTGAAACTTCATTGTTTATTTACCCACCACCTCTTGCCAACAAGGAGCCGAGATGATATACAACCCAGGCCACGTGTGACTGGATTGAACCAACAGAAAAAAAAAACATTTTTTTTTAATATTTGTTTTTGAGAGAGAGAGAGAGAGAGAGAGACAGAGCATGAACAGGGGAGGGGCAGAGAGAGGGAGACACAGAACCTGAAGCAGGCTCCAAGCTCCGCACTGTCCGCACAAAATCCGATGCGGAGCTTGAACTCAGGAACTGTGAGATCATGACCTGAGCCGAAGTCTGACTGAGCCACCCGGGCGCCCCTACCAACAGAAAAATTTTAGGTGAGGGCTGAGAAAAGTTGAAGGCGGCAAGTACGTGAGTTGTAAGGGCTGATGGAGCCATGGTGAACACGCATGAGATTTGACCGGGAGCCTCCTGGGAGCCAAGGCAAAAGGAGGAAACAGCGTCCAGTACTTGGCTTTCCCTGTTAGAAGGAGTGTTCCAGTTGATTTGGGGAAATTGTTCTACTCGACTCTGCAGTCTAGAATTCTCTTACGGGACTGTATATGATGTGGGCAGAGACACTGAGAGCCTTGGAGAAGATCCTTAGGTAGCTGGCAGCCGTACACAGGAGAACAGACCAGTGGATGATTTCCAGTCTGTGTGAACGGGTTCCTCATGTCAGGGTGACACTTCCCAGCGTCAAAAGACCTGATCTTTGCACATGCCTGCCTAGCCCACCTGAGCCACTTGTGCTGGCTCAAATTTGTGGGTTGTTGTTTTTTTTTTCCCAAACCGTTTTTCAAATTTCTCCTGGTACTTAGTTGATCTTCCAGGAGCCAAGTCCGTAGGACAAGGAGGAGGCTGCTGCTGTCATCCCTGTCACCTGCCACCCCAGCGTTCTGGGTGGGGATCCTGCTGGTCTGGGTTCTGGGAACACCTCACAGACATTTACTCTTTGGGGTTCGCTGGGTCTGACACCACCAGGAGGAAGCCCAGCCTGACTGGGAAGTGCCGACTCCTTCAGGCTGATCCTTGGGCCGCCGCAGACCTGTCTGATGAGGACTGACCCCGGGAGGAGGGGTTCAGAGGGCACCTCTGGTTTGCAAGACAAGAAGGGAGAGAACTTTCCAGTTCAGAGGCAGGTCCCTGGGCTGAGAATCGGGACCCTTGGGTCCCTGTGTCAGAGCCGCAGTGAATTCACTCAGGCTTGGGCAAATGTCTACCTCCTGCCACCTCCATCTGCCCCTCTGCCCATTTGACCTGTGTCTTGGGCTTGCCTGAGGTTGTTGGAGCCAAAAGCGAGACACGGAGGGCTGGGGGAAACGGCTCCCCGTCGGTCACAAGGGGCGGTGGTCT